GGGGGGGGGGGATAAATCTTTTGCATGCCAAGATGTTCACTAGATTTACAAGATCTTAGATTTCTCTTCCATACATCCCACCTTCAAGGGGTGGGTGGGTAATAAATCTTTTGCATGCCAAGATGTTCACAAGATTGACAAGATCCTAGATTTCCTTCAAACTTGCAAGTGAAGCAGGGATGGGGGCGAAATAAATCTTATGCATGCCAAGATGTTTACAAGATCCTTGATTTCTTTTTTTCCATACATCTCCCTTTCAAACTTTTCAATAAATCTTTGGCTTGCAAAGATGTCCAGCTGAGTCCAAAGCAGCGTAGTTTTTCCACCAAAGGGATGGAAACTTCACACATCACAATGTGTGCCCCCCCCTCCCCAAATAACACAACCCTCCAGCCGCAAGAGCCCTTTGGAGGGATTTCTTCTCATCCTTGGTTTGGCAGCAAAGAGGGGCCAGTACACAAATCCTGAATCGAGCCATTGTTTCCAGCGCAATTGCCGGCTTTTGCCCCCTCCTTTCCTTTTCTTTTCACTGGACAGAGAAAAAGCAGGGCGGTTGGGTTGTTTGGTGGCTGGGTGGGTGGCTGGGGGAGAAAGCCACCTTGTGTAAAACTTGTTGGCAAGGCTGGAGAGTGTATTAGGAAGGAGAAAATAAAATAAAATAAAATCCCTCCTCCTCCTCCACCAGGTCCCTCTGATCGCTTGCTGTATTGAGCCCCTGGACGCTCAGGGTTAGCTCAGACATTCCAATGCAGTGAGGCAGCAGCAGGGGAAATCACACTCCACACACACTCACAACACACACACAACATACACACTCACAACACACAGATCCTCTCCTGCTCCTGCTGCTCACTAGCTCTTCCAGCAGCAGCAGCAACCAAAGCGATCCCTTCCAGCCCTGAGGCTCTGCCTCCCCAACTGGATCCAGAGTTGCAGCTTCAATACAACAACAACAAAGCCCCTCATCCCCTAAAGACAACAGGGACCCTCATCCCCCGGAGGAGACCAGGATCTTCCTGTGCCTGGCAGGTAAGAGGAGTCCCCATCCTCCCCACCTGCCAAAGGCAGAGAGGGAAGTTTTGAAAAGAGAAAGGGGGGTAGGGGTCCTGCTTCTCAAGTGTGGAAGGGGTGGAGGGAATTTTTTAAAGAAATAAAATAAAATAAAATTGATTTTAAAAAAGGAATTAAAAATTAGAAACTCAGTCCCATCAACCCGTAAAGGAAATAGAAAGGGACCAGTGTCGGTCCAGGGTAGAATTCAAAGATATCCTCTAGTAAGTAGAGAGATCTTGTAGCACCTTTGAGACTCACTGAAAGAAAGAAATGGCAGCAGGAGCTTTCCTAGACTTCAGTCTACTTCCTCAGATGCATTTGGATATAATAATAATAATAATAATAATAAGTAGTAGTAGTAGTAGTAGTGAGATCTTGTAGCACCTTTGAGATTAACTGAAAGAAAGAAAGGAATTGACAGCAGGAGCTTTGGTAGACTTCAGTCTACTTCTTCAGATGCATTTGGATATAGTGGAGGCCAGGCACAGACATACGGTATATATATGGACCATCTTTAAGACTGGACCTGCTACTTCATGTCCATACACAAAGGATTTGTAAGTTGAATTGACATCCTCACATATATATGTGATATATATATATATATATATATATCACATATATATGATGCGTAAGTTGAATTGACATATATATATATGATGTGTAAGTTAAATTAAGATTTGTAAGTTGAATTGACATCCTCATAAAGTCCTTTGTGTATAGACATGAAGTGGTACGTCCAGTCTTAAAGATAGTCCATATATATGTCTGTGCCTGGCCTCCACTCCACCAAATGCATCTCAGAAAGTAGACTGAAGTCAATATAAATATATATTGACCTCCTCTCTCTCTCTCTCTCTCTCTCTCTCACACACACACACACACACACACATATATATACACACACACACACACACATATGTGAGGTTGTCAATATACAAATCCTCAATACACAAATCCTTTATGTTATGGATATGAAGTGGCAGGTCCAGTCTTAAAGATGGTCCATAGGAGACTGGTCTTTGTGCATGGGGCTGAACTGGCCGATCCAGTTTTGTAATGGGACTAGTCAGTGGTGAGAAGGATAGATGAATGTAGGGCACCCCTATGAGGATGGGGCCAGATAGTGTTGAAGTGTGTCTAGTGAGTAAGGAACCCATTGTCTTTGTTCAGTCCATTGCTGAGGGACTGT